CTCTGCATTGAAAGCGGTTGAGTGACTTTGGGCCAATCACCAGGCGATGGTGAGTTCTAGTCCCACCTCTGCATTGAAAGCCAGCTGGGGGACTTTGGGCTAATAACTCTCACACATTCTGCCTGTGCCACCTCACAAAATTGTTGTGGGGAAAATAGGAGAAAAGAGTATTAGGTGTGCTCAACACTTTATTTATATAGTAATAAAGGCACGGGATAAAAACAAACCTAATAAATACATTCTCCCCATTTCGGGATTCAGATTTTCACCCTGCAGCAGAGACAACTCCCCTTTTTAAAGAAACTTGGCATCACATCCCCGGTCCCCCCGACTTCCATGACCTTGTTCATGGTCTTACTTTGGCGCAGGTAGGTGAGGTGAGACAGCAAGATTTCGGTGTTGTAGGGTGAAGTGAGGCGGAGGAACCCTTCTTTCCCGAGTTTGCAAAGTTCCTTTCCATCTATGTGCTGAAAGAGGCTGGTTTCGATGTCGGGAAGGCCATACTCCTTCACTGCCCAGTCCAGCCACTGACGGACGTGGTCGCAGCTCCAAACACCCGGGTCTGTTGAGGGAGAGAGGAGAGCTTGGAGTAAGAAGCGAAAGAGGTCCATGGCCAGAGGACCTAAAGCAGGCCTTGGAAGCTGCTAAGTTGGGGTGCAACAAGGAAGGCATGAAATCTGGTAGAACGAGGTGGAATCCTCAAATGGTGGTGGACCAACCTGCTGGAACAATGACCTTCTCCTCTCTGGATGAAGAAACGGGGGGACTACGTTGGTTGGGGTATCCGGTTGGGTAGGGCACTTGGGACGTGTCGACTGCCGCTTCCACTTTGTTCCTGCGGGTGGCACTGCATTCCACCGGTGATTGTCTGCTGGGGGTGGGAGAGAGGTAGGTATATAGGAGAAGGGGGTAGCAGTCTTCCCTCAAGGCGGGCAAGGTGAGCATCTGAGGAGCATCTGCCAAGGCTCCATAGATGATGTGAAGCCAATGAGGGGTTCCCTTGTAAATCTCTTTTCATCCTATGGACAAATGTTTCTCAACTTTGGCAACTTTAAGATATGTGGACGACGACTCCTAGAATTCTCGGTGTTGAAGGCCAGAAGTTGCCAAGGTTAAAAAACATTGCTGTAGAACTACTCCTCTAAGTCTCATCCTTTAGCAGGAGATGCATTTAGGAGCACAGTCTTCTAGATCATTCTAAATCAATCAAGTGTCAGGGTTCCCACGATTGCCCTAATTAAATCATGAGCCTCGAGCCAATCTTTGAAAGAATTCCAAAGACTTATTAGGAACAACATGTCCGACACTAACCCATATGGAGCCAACTCCGAGACACGTAATTTACTATCACCTATGACCCTGTTTCCCCCCACCCCCCTGGGTGTGCCATATATCAGATTCTCCAACTAAACATGCAGAAGATCCAGTAGCCTAGGCTACAATCTCCACAAGATAAGCTTGGAATTGCTTCTGGCCTTCATCTGCCACATTGCTCCCTCAGGCCTTCCTCCCCGCCTTTACGAGTTGACACTAAGCCTGCCAACCTGTTTGCCCGTCAGCTTCCCTGGGCTGCCCCTCTTGTCCAGTCCAAAAGCCAGTGTGGTGTGATGGGGAAGGTGCTGGACTAGAACCTGGGAGGCTGAGAGTCTGTCTTCTCTCTTAGGCATGGAAACCGGTTGAGTGTCTTTGGGCCAATAACTCAAGAGAGTGGCTTTCGTGAAGAAAACAGAAAGTGATTATGGATGCCAATGTGAGTTTTACAAAATAAAGGCAGGATATACTTCCAATGCAATGTTTTCCCAACCTCAGCAACTTAAAGCTTTTGTGGATTTTCAACTCCCAGAATTCCCCAGCAGCCATAATGGGATGGGCTGAAAGGCTGCATGGCTGACTGGGGAGTTCTGGGAATGGAAGTCGACACAACTTCAAAGTTCAATGAAACAAACCAATCCAAAATCTGGACTTCTGCTCTCCAAGGCTGCTAACCTGCTGGAGCAATTGACTTGTTCGTTCTCCTGTTTCACCATATGGCCTCGGCTATTGACCTGGGCTGACCACGAGGCGTCTTCCAATGTTGGCTCTTCCTTGCTCCCATAATCGTCCACTGGAGACACCTCAGTCTTCAAGAGGTGTGAGGAGGCAAAGGATGGGTCGAAGATGGACTGGTCCTCACTTACAACTGACAGCGCCTCCTGCAGGAGAAGGTAGGGAAGTAACGGGGAAAGACCAGAGCAATGATTAAGAAAAAAAATCAGAGGAGATCTATCCCATTGGAATGAAGCGAAATCAAGTCCAATTCCTGATTGAAAGACCCTAAACTTAATAATAAAAAAAATCTAATAGTCGCATAACGTGCCAAATCCGAATTAGCAGTATTGTTGTTTAATGCGACAACCAATGGTTGTCGCATTGATCAACCAATGGAACAGCTTGCCTTTGGAAGTTGTGGGAGCGCCATCACTTGAGACCTTCAAGAAGAGATCGGACTGCCATCTGTCAGAAATGGTGTAGGGTCTTCTACTTGGGCAGGGGGTTGGACTAGATGACCTACGAGGTCCCTTCCAACTCTGATTATCTGTTATCTGACAGCATTGCTCGTTTGTCGCCCTTCCTACAACCTACCAAACTGCAAGCAACCCAGTCCCTGTGTGAACCTTACAGGATCTTGAATGAAGGGTCTGAATTCAGGATTAAGTTTTAACTTCCTGGAGGCCTGAATGGAAATCATTCTTTCCATGCAGGAAATCCATACCCAGTTATTCATTTCCTGCCCTGTTCACATAAATGGGAATCAAGAACCGGAGTCCATTGCTTGCAAATTACTGAAAAACTTATCGGCGGATCAAAGCCGACCTACAGATTCCTAGACTGGGTGGACAAAAAAAAACAAAAAACCACTCTTGATTGATCCCAACAAAGAACATCCTTAGAGCAGACAGCTGAGTTAGGAGCTGCCTGCTGTCAATTTCCATTGGAGTTTCTCCACCTTAGCAATTTTAAGGGCTCTCTGGACTTCAATTCCCAGAATTCCCCAGCTATTGTGGAGGGGATGGTGAGATCAAAGCTCTGCTTTTTTTTTTTTAATGCAATGCACCTAGAAAAACAGACAGAACGTCCGTTGCACTGTTATGAGTTTGGTCACCTTCTTCGGTGGTCTGCCATCTTAACTTTTCTGACCACACCCGGCCTCCAAGGCTGTTATAAGAATGAAATGGAAGGAGCCTTTTACTTGCAAGAAAGCTACCTGTGACTGGTTCGGTACCTGGGTTTCTCTAGTTCAAAACATCTATTCAAACAGCAGGGAACAAATCCAGCAGCGAAACAGACAGGTAAGATATATGCAGAGAAATAACTGAACAGCCTTGATAGAAGGAAGAAGACCCAGAGTCGCCCTAAAGCAACTTTAAAAGAATTTAACCAGAGACTCTTAACAATGAGAGACTCCCTCTTGGGAGATTGTTCTCTAGAAATGTTATTTTTGTCAATCATTTAGAAATTGCCGAAGATATTGCATATTTCCCCCTTTTTAATTTTTTTCTTAAATTTATTGATTGATTTTCTATTAAATACATCTCTTAGTGCTTAATAAACACCGTGTTGCCTGGGTATTTAATGTGCTTAACAATACAAATTTACATTCTTAATCTTTTTTTCCCCAGCCATTGGTAAAATAGATTCCATGTTTGATAATATTCTACATCTTCTTTCTGTTTCCTTTTCAATGTCAATCTATCCATTTCTGCACAATCTAATGTCTAATAGTTCCTGACTATCTCTTCATCTCATGGTATACCTTTATTTTTCCAGCATTGTGCAAATATAATCCTCGCTGCACCCTTTCCTCCTTATTTTAGAGTGGAAGGATGCTGGTGGTAGAAGCGGGGAGACTTACAGGGGTGGGGCTACTGGGGGTTCGCAGGGCTTCAGGAGAGCCCCTAGCTAAGATTCTGAACAGTTTGGAGAACCCTCAAATCCCACTCCTGGCTGGCCCCGCCCACCCCTCCCAGGAGTCCCCATGCAGACAGTTTTGGATACAGGTAAGTGCACGGCGCACATGGTGGCTCAGGGAAGGCGAAAAACGGGCCTCCCGGAAGTTTGGGAAGGCTGGAAATGGGTCCGTTTCCAGCTTCCATAGAGCCTCCGGAGCCCAGGGAGGCCATTTTCACCATCCGGAGGCTCGAGGAAAGCCTCCGGAGCCCGGGGAGGGCAACCCCCCTCGCCGTAGTGCAGGAGGCCGACTAGACCACACCCACCATGGCCCCGCCCACCCAAGAACCAGGCAGAGAACCCTTTGCTAATATTTTTGAAGCCCACCCCTGGGGGAGAGGATGTATTTCTTAGATCCATAGTGAAGGCAGTGAACTCTGGAATGAGTTCTTGGCTCTCTGGTCATCTTGCAAATTCTGAAGATGAGTATAGATAGTCCTCGGCTTATGGCCACAACGAGAGCCTACGTTATGCTCCCTACCTCTAAACAGGCCAGGCCTTAAAGGGAACACAGGCCTGAATGTGGAAACCTGGGGAATGGGTGACTGTGATGAAGGAGAGAGAAATTGCACGAATGGGATATAGCTAGTCCACAACTTATAACCACAGCTGGGACTGGAACGCTGTTGCTAAGCAATGTGGTTGCTAAGTGAGTTGCACCTGATTTTAGGCGTTTTGCCTCAGTCATTAAGGGAATCACACAGTTGTTAGGCAAATCCATCTTCCTTCTTTGCCTATGGGAAGCTCCCTGGGAAGGTGGCGGGTGGAGACCATGGGACCATGGGACCCAGCGCCCAAAATCTGATCACATGACAGTGGGGATGTTGCAGTGCTTGGAAGAACTCAATGAATTTCACTAGCATCATTGTAATTTTGACCAATCAATAAACAAATGGTTATAACTCAAGGACTGCCCATGGCCTAAAGCTCCCTAATTTCTTTTATTTCTTTTCCTCTCCTACACTTTTATCTTTCTTTTTGATCTTTCTTTTTTCTTACTTTATGTTACATAGCTGATGTTTCCCAGGGCCATGCGATGTGATTTTTTTTTTTTCACCTCTCTTGCCTTGTCTGCTGCTGGGATTCCTGGGCAGTGACACAACTTTGGCACAGGAAATAGCAGGGAGGTGGCAGCTATACAGCTCAGTTGAGGAGAGAGAGGGAGAGAGACTAGGGAGGGAGGGAGAAAGAGAAAGAGCGAGCAAGAAAGAAAGAAAAAGAAAGAAAAAAGACTAGGGAGGAAGGTAGAAAGAGAAAGTGAGAAAAAAGAAAGAAAGAAAAAGACTAGGGGGGAGGAAGATAGAAAGAAAGAAAAAGAAAGAAAGAAAGAAAGAAAGAAAGAAAGAAAGAAAGAAAGAAAGAGAAAGAAAGAAAGAAAGAAAGAAAGAAAGAAAGAAAGAAAGAAAGAAAGAAAGATAGACAGAAAGAAAGAAAGAAAGAAAGAAAGAAAGAAAGAAAGAAAGAAAGAAAGAAAGAAAGGAGGGAGGGCAGGAGAGAGGAAAGAAAGAAAGAAAAGAAAGAAAGAAAGAAAGAAAGAAAGAAAGAAAGAAAGAAAGAAA